GGTGCTATTTAAGAGACTGAGCTGAATACAGCTCCTCAGACTGAGGAAGTCTCTCGGATGAGAGACGAAACGTTTCTACATTTTTTGTTGTTTTGCTTTGTTTTGGGTTTTTTTGAATGTCCAGAGGACCAGATTTAACTTTTTTAGATTTTTCTACCTGGATTATTGAGCATGCATCAGGATAAAATCACAGATCCACTGAAAACTTGTTGCTAACAGTTGACGGTTGTCTGAAAATACCCGTTTCACCGTTTTGATTTCCCGACCCAACAGTTATCTGTAGCTATATCATATAGCAACATGTTTAAACTTCAGATACAAAATTCAAAACCAAATATCTATGTTTTGTATTTGCATCATGATCTGCAACATCAGATCAATAAGGGATATGGAAAATCTGCCACTTTGTTTATAGAAACACATTGCATACAGTATACTATCACAGGAGACCATTGAATCCTCAGGAGATTACATCCATCATCCCAATTGGTTTTATGTTCCCCCTTATTGCAGAGTGAAATCTGATTAGTTAGAAGATGGCATTGAGAAGAATCTGGTCTAGCAGATGGAGTTCAGGGGTGAAAAGATAGCAGTGCCTAGTCTGATCTGGCAGTCTAATCTGTGCCTCTTCTCTCTGCCAGGTGGAACGAACAACAGCTCGGACACCGAGAGCTTGCCCTCGCCGCACTCCTCCGAGGACAGCAAGGTTAAAGACGAAGGCTCAAGCAGGCCAAAGGGCAGCTCCAACCCTGTGGACAAGGAGGCCCAGTCAGACATGGGCCAGGCAGGCGATGAGAAGCCGCCCGTCAAAGAGGAGGTTGACTCAGCAGTTAAGGAGGAAATAAAGACTGAGACAGGGGAGCCCAAGAAAGAGCAGCCGCAGCCAGTTTCACCCAACGATACCGCAGATAAGAAACCTCCAACAGCAGAAAAGGAAGAAGTCAAAAGCAGCACCAAGAGTTCCAAAAAAGAGCACGCAACCAAAACAGGCTTGCAAGGGGACAGCGACTCTAGTGCCACGTGCAGCGCTGATGAAGTGGAGGAGGCCGACAATGTAGACAAGAACAGGTCAGTAATAGCTTTATTATAATATAATTTATTTTAATTTTATAAAATTACCTTATTAATTTTTTTTACCTTGTGTTAAACGGCTGCAACTTTTTGATTTTTCTTTATTTCATTTTTGCCTGGGTGTCCTACTTCACTGGTCTACCACAGCAAACATGAGAAAACAAAGCAGAGAGGGTTTTGAAGTGGTATTAGTTGCCTAGCTACACTGTACGGCAGCAAAACCATATTTGTCAAACCACTTTTATGTGTGTGTATGTATGTGTGTACTACAGGTTGTTCTTTCCTACTAAACAGGAATTGTATTTATACTTTGCATGAATGGAATATATATTTACCATTAATATATGTTGTGTGTGTCTGTGAATGAGGCCAGAACAAATGGGTGTCAAAGTGCGTGGGAGGAGTGATTAGTCCTGTTAGCACGGTGTTTGTTCAATTTTTTTTCCATGACAGCAGACTGCATGTACTGGCAGAGCTGAGGGAAATGTTGCCCTCTGTGCCAAATCAAACAAATGGAGGGAGGAGTGTACGCATGCACGTGTGTGTGTGCGTGTTACTAAAAAAATCTTGTGCAAGTGTGTCTTTGATTCGGTGTGTTATGTTTTCAGCAAATTTAAGAGTGTCTTTTTTTTTAAACACTGTCTCAAGCTCTGTCATCAGATGTTTCACCCACACGCAAATCTATTATTTTTCTTTTTTAGTCCAAAATCTGATTACATAATGGCTTATTTGTGCATTGTTTCTACTTGGAAACAACTTGAAAACAAGTCCACTGTTTTACAAAACTGTTTAAATTGAGATAAATCTGTAATTCAGTTGAATGTAACGGTGTTAAATGACGGTTATCTTGTTAAATTATTTAGTTATGCAGTGGGTTTTTTGTATGACAGGCAGCATTTCTTCCACTAATTGCTTACCATTTTTGCAGTACAGTAAAAGCATGCACGCTGTTTTGCAATAAATATAAAGTATATGGTGGTAGTCCATATTAATGCCACACATTGCATCAGTTTTTTTTGTTTTTTTGTACATGTGTAACAAATCTTAGTATAGATCTTGTAGCTGTGATGGTGGTCATATTGTCCACTGGTAATGTAGCAGTTTACACAAAAACCTTCCTCTCTTTTCCTATACTGCTACTTACTTGAATATCTTGCCCCCAAAACATTAAGGTTTAATTTCAGTCTCTGTTCAGTTCCATTCCAAAAAAATACTCACCTTGAAAGCTACAAACGTTCGCTATTAAAATCCCTCAGTGACGGAGGACTTGTTTATCAAACTTTATGCACTTTAAGGATATGAAGTCATGTGGGGTTTTATTACAAACTTTTTCTCTTGCTACTTTCACCACTTTACTTTACATTGGTTTGTTACATTGAGTTTCAAAGTAAATACCAGACACTTTGTGGGCTTTTTAAATTACGAAGTATGCCATCCGTTATTAAACACGATAAACAGAAAATGTTGACCATCCATCAGCCTCAACAACCATGGGTTTTGTTTGTGTGTTTGCAGAATTTCTTCTCCACGGCCAAGCTTGCTGAACTACACTCATGATGGGGTCATTTCATCCCCACTACAGAAGCCCATGGATCTGAAACAGCTCAAACAGAGGGCTGCCACTATACCACCAATTGTGAGCTTTTCTTATGCATGAATAAATGAATGATTAAAAAGGAACAACTCAGCCCTTTTCAGATGTTTCACACATGCATGCACACCATACCCCCTTTTTGTTTACAGTGATTATACTGTCCTCATCTCTGTGTTGACAGAGAAAACTATACCTCAGGTAAAATTGTGAAGTCATATTTATTTAAGCCAACCAGATGGATGAAGATAAACTGAAGAACAATTAAGAAGAAGCCAAGGATTAGTGAATCTTTAGCTTAACAAGAAATAGGAGCTGCATCTTTCCTATCATGTTGATCAGATAAAGTGTGTGGCTAACCATATGTCAACGCCTGGTTGGACAGGACTTCTATTATGTCTGCATGCATGTAACCCTTTTATTTCTGTCCTCTTCTGTATAAAGACGCCAGAGGCATCAGCACAGGGCAGTCAGCGGACTGGGAAGGCAGTGCAGCCCCACCACGCCCTGGCTCTGTACCAGGAACAGATCACTGCAGCTCATGGGGAGTCCTCTCAGGAAGTCAAACAACAACAGCATCTTTCAGGCCAGCCAGGCAAACAGCAGCCTTACACCCCTCAGGCTGACAGAGACCGAGAGGCTCTTATCAGCACCAGCCCTCACATTTGCTCTCGTAGCCCCTCCATCAATGAAAAAGATGGTATGTTTTTATTACCTTATATGCTCATTTAGCTGGTTCAAGTATCCCTAGGATCCTTAGTGTCAATATACTGCACCATGTCTACCTGACCTGGTACATTAGGTCTTTAAAAATAGAGGAAATGTTGTTTTTAGAAAACAAGTTAATAATATTTTTTTTTTAAACTCCACAGCATGCAGCTTTAGGTGCATTTGATCTAGTTTTACTTTGTGGGTCCTTTTTACAAGCTCTGACCTTGAGTCTGTTCTGTGGTGTTTAAGGTTTTTAAGTGTTTCTAGGACACTCGTGGTGAGGGAGCTGATAAATGTCCTGGTGTTGCTGTTGACCCAGAAGCGAATATAAAGTCTAGTTCAGTGGACTTATTGTAAGCTTGTGGAATGTGAATCTCTTGAGAACACAGTGCGAGACTTTTCAGCAAGCCAGACGATCAGAGGCGTTTTCTTACCATCTGGGAACAGAAGCTTATTAAACTCTTATTTGATTCATTGTTTAAAACGAAATTACTGACAAAGCTCTTAATTCTTGACACAAGATCAGGTTTAGACATATGCTGAAGCTCCAGTTCATTAGCATGTATTTACCAGAAAAGTTAATGTAGTTCATGCTTCTGTTTTCAGGTAGAAAAAATTGTCAGGCGTGTAGTTTATTTTCCTCTTAAAGGGATTGAGAAGGTTCACCAATTACTTACAGTGACCCTTTTAGCACAAAGTACTGTTACAATCCCTGCAAAACTTAGCTTACACAATTAAAATGCAATATTAGCAGTGGGATTTTTTATATGTTGGTCTGCTAATTTTAGAGGTGATTCACAGCAGCAGGAAAATGACTAGAGACACTTTGTCTTCAGTATGAGTCAGTTATGTAGACAACAGTGGATTGATTAAATAGAATATTTGATCTACAAATAGAAATTGTAATTTACAGTAACAAGTTAATACAAAATGTGACTAACAGGGTGTCTTCTCAGATCAGGTGGTCCAGTTTGTTGCTGTTTTGTGACTCCTCCCGTGTTTTGATGTTGCAGAGAAGTCCCAAGCTTTCTCTCCACATGGTGACACTAAGAAGCAGACACTGGGTCCTGATGACCCCAGGACCTCAAACTGGGGTCGCCCAACTCTCTCCCCATACTCCGTGTCCTCTCGAGACATGGCCAAGATGAGTCATGACCAGCACCTGCTCCACTTCAACAGTGAGGAACCTTTTCTGTATTGCCTACTCTAATTATTTTGACCATCACATGTACTACAATGAATTGTAATATTTATTCTACAGTTTATCATGGGAAGAAAACTTCATTTTAACATTAAGGGCTTCTTAAAATGTTAAGCTGAAGTTTATATATTAGTAATTGTTTAACTCTTCTATGCACATTGTGATTTTTCTTTTAGCGTTACAGCAGATTGGCCACCCCTTACTTGCTGGTCTCCCACCAGATAGTGTGAGGCTACCAGCAGTGAGACACCTAACAATGCCAGAACCTCCGCCTCTTATTTCCTCCACCAAGCCAGGAGGTTCTATCACACAGGTATGTCACCACACATAAAATATCAACTTCCATCCTCATTAATCATAGATCTAAGGTTAGTTTTAGCTGCACACGTGAATACTGTGGTTAAAATTTTAAAACAATAAATTAAATAACAGAATCTTACCAATTTAAAACCAGTGATGGAAGTATTTTACAGTAATTTTTAAATGTCATTTTTTAGGGGACCCCTGTACAGTTACACAGCCCAGCTCATGGCATTGACCATTCAAAGATGCCTCCGGCACCGATGGGGGTGTCGTGGATGGAGAAGAAAGTTTGTGAGTAAAACTGGCTGTGCGAATCAGTACACAGTCCAGGTTGTTTTTCCTCCTCTAAAATGTAACTTCCTCTTCATCGTCTCAAAATGTAATATAATTATGTCACCAGTCTTGTTCATCTTATCATCGTCTCTGTATGTGCCTTGTTTTTCCGTCCTGTAATGTTCTGTACAGCAGGTAGTTCACCGGTGGTAAAGCGAGAGCAGCTGTCCCCTCACAGTTCCTCCTCTCTACCAGATAACCTGTCATCCCAGGGGGGGCCTCTTGATGCGTCTGGACGTGGTGGGTGCTTCAACATTTCCTGTCATTATTTCAGTTCCATAAACAGTTCAGTGCTATTAGAGCTGTGCTGAATAGATACTTCTCATTCTAAGTTAAAGATAAAAGATAATACCAAGACATTTTGTCAAATCACTCTCCTTATAGATGCAGAGTATCATGGATTGGCTAAAATTCATGCTCATAAATTATGAGTATTCATATTTTTTGATGCACTTTCTAGAAAATATTTACTTTTGAGCAACTTGTTAGTCCCTCAGTGACTTAAACTAGACAACCTCAACTTAAAACAGTCCTGACTTTAATGTGAAGGTGCTTTTAAGACTGAGTTTGTTGTGGCTGCTCGGACTGATGAAGCCTTTTGGATGGAAGATGAAACGTTTCAACAAAAAGAAACCGTCCTGACTTTAGTTCTCTGAAGCCCATTCAATCTGACGGGGCATTAGAGGATGTGAAAAATTTAAGAAATTGCCCAGTTATGAATGTCGGAGGTAGATCAACACTCAGGAGCCTATTTTAAGCATTGAGTTTCTCCAGCGGTGCCTCTACATTACAGTATGTTTTATTTTGTATGTCTTTAACTCTTTTCTTTGTTGCCTTATGCGATCGATTCTTCCTTGTAATCTTTACATCTTCCATTCTAGCAGTCCAAGGAGGGAGTATCACTAAGGGCTTGCCAGGGACCAGGATACATCAAGATTCTGCAATTTCCTATCGAGGAGGCTCCATTACACATGTAAGTTCAGACCACTCAAACCAGCAAACCTTTTCTAAGACTTTTAATTTGTAAGATAGAATGGCTACCTTTTCTGTAGGATGCTATTCAGTATTAAATGAGTACCTAATTGGTTTGTAATTTCTTAGCCAGTCTTTGTGAAGATTTTCAGTGAATTTTATATAAACCCTTATTCACATTATGTAAGACTAATTTAAAATCACCATGCTTAAGAAGTGACTTTATATTCAAATGCCTTATAATGGAGTTGCTGTCTTGTTTTTAAGGCACTCTCAGGCTCTTGGTTCAATGGTGTTTAGAGTTGTTCTTTGACCACAATGTTTTGGGTTTTAGTGTATTCATCTAGTATATGTACAAAACACCACCACTGCTTTGGATGAGGCAAACCTCAAGCATGAGCATTACAAGTATTCTGCTGACAACGTGCAAATTTGAGTCATCTGTTACAACAGACAGCAGTTCTCTTCCTGTTTCATTTTGACAACCTCACTATTTCACTTGAAATGTAAGCAAATGGATAACAGAATGGTCATATTTGTAGCTTTAAAACACAGCCTATTATGGTTTAGATCTTTTATTTGTTGTTGTTGTTTCTTACTCATGTTACAGTACAAGGTGATAATCCAAAAGTTAACATGGTTTACCCTAGGCCGACAGGTCGTCTGATTCTAGACTGCACAATAAACTGTATTAAGGTTCATGCTATCGCACAGATTACCACTCTGCCACATTTTCTGATGGTTTGCCCTAGTTTTCCAAAAACTGATGCAATCTTTGGCCCCTAAACACACAACTTGAAGCACCCTGTGCAACAGCTTGTTTGCAAATGAGTTTTGCACCTATGATGAAAGAGAGCAGCAGAACTGGTGAGAGGTCATGAGGCAAAGGAAGTGCTGTGGCTGCTGGATTTCTGTGGCTGCGTGACATAACCACAGCTCTGAATGGTACTGTTGCCCTAGCAACAAGTACACACTGTACCGCATCTGTTCCCTCTTTTATTTATCTGTGCATATTAGATGCTGGCTAAACCCAGTCACTGATATGCCCACTCTAATGTCAGATTCAACTAGCATAGAAGAAAAAAATCAGCTGAGAAGACTGTCATCCCACCTTAAACATTAGTAAACGGAAAGAGAAGTAAATGTTAAGGTGCCATCTGTCCTGTTATTCACCTCACAGCTAGGCAAATCAATATGTGTATGCACATTTGTTTGATCGCACAGAGATGGCAGCGAGTCATAGAGTGCTTCAGTCGCTGCCATCTGATCATGTAAACAAACCTTCCCCATCTCCTTTAGGTAAACACTTCTTGGAAAAGCTGCAACCAACAGAAGTGTCCTCTTAGCCACTGTCTCCTTTTTTATCATGCTCAGCGTGATCACCTTCTAACCAGTAGATGTAAGATGCAAACAGAGTAAAATGGTTATTTAAGTTTTAAATTAAGCCCCTTGTTGTTTTCTGCTCACAAATTAAGTTCAGCAGTTTTGCCAATGTTTTTAGAACTTGTTTGCTTACTTTTATTAGATTTTTTTTGTTATACAGTTTATCACCAATATAACAAGCATGTAGTATGTTGTTAACCAACACTTGGACAGCGTCATTGTTAAAGGGTATTGCTAAAAACAGGATTGACCTCCTAAATCAGTACTTATTGCAGTGAAGCAGAAAAAATGTGCTGCAGTTCTGCAGGTTTGACTCGGTCTTGTATATTAGTTGAGTGATTATTGTTTGTGTTATTGAGCAAGTTCTACAACTTTTTTTTTATTTCCAAAAATAGCTCAAAGGGCTCTAAAATGGTTCCCAGCATCAAAACACGTTTTAAAATCAATCTTTTAATGATAATTGGTAATAATTTGTTTTCTTTGTTACTTCAACACTGCTTCTTGGACTCACTTTTTTTAAGTAATAGGTCCAGTTTTTACTGATATGTCAGAGCATGACTTGGCTATAAATGATTACAAGCAGCGAGAGAGGAGTTCACTTCTTGGACAGCTTTCAGACCCGGCTCCATTCCACATACTTTTGGTAATCTTTATGCAAATCTGTACTGCACCACCTTAAATAATCACCTGGCCTGACGTGACTTACAAATAGCAGAGACACTGTATTAGTTGGATATGTAAATAAGTTTAAAGAAATAAATGGAAAAAAGTAGGGATGCACGATATTATCGGCATGGTATCGGTATCGGCCGATATTAGCGATAAAGTTAAATATCGGACATTCCATCAAAATAACTCACCGATATAAAAGGCGCTGTTTTTGAATGACAACCCAGTGACAAGATTTGATGATTAAGTTTGTATAACCATGTGTTGGGCTTCTGTTTTAAGTTAATTTTTTAATTTAAAAAAACTGTCAAGTATATCTATATCTATTAATTATATATATCTATTTTCCCAGGGGACACCAGCAGATGTCCTGTATAAGGGAACCATAACGCGTCTAATCACAGAGGACAGTACCAGCAGAGCTGAGAGGGAGCGAGAAGAAGCACTGTCCAAAGGACAAGTGGTGTATGATGGCAACAGTGGACACATACGCACATATGATCGTGAGTGCATCAGCCAGCACAATACTGCATGTTTTATTGTTCCTTTGTTCAATCAGTGGATCTCTTCACTTGAAAACATTTATTAATTTTAGGCCCAGGAGCGCAGACGTGCAAAGATGAGGGCAGAGGCTCAGGGCAGTCTGGGGAATATCTTGGCCTAAAGCGTCCTTATGATGTCATGGAGGGAACCAGAGGGTTGCACATGAGGGACTCGCTGCCTGCTGCTAATTGTGAAGGTAAGAGAAAACCTAAAGTCAACTTAAATGCTGTGTTTGGCACGTACTCATGATTTCAAGTTCTCCGTCGTCACAACGGGTTTGTGTCATTTTGAATGTGGTCAGGACGGATTTCTAAATAAAATAAAATGACTATATGAGCTGAAATCCTGTAAATATGGTCCTTTTGAATCATTTTAGGGAGAAATGTGTCAGTCTGGCAAAAAAAATAAAAATAAATTAAAGTTAATTTATACTCGTTCAAGAACATCCTGTGCTATATTTTTTTAATATGTCTGACAACCCCTCAATTGAAAACAGTGAAATGCCATTAACATAAACTACAGAAAGATCGTTTAAAACTTGTCTTCCTTCAGAATCTCATTGTCTTGAGACTCTAGATGGTTCAGGTTAAAGTCTTCTTACAACTTCAACGCTTCATTAGAGAACACTATACTGTGTACTTTTACTAAGGTTATGTACACAGTATACTCATCTTAACGTGAAAACCTTTGGGAAGTGACTTGTATGCAGGGAATTGCTTTCAAATGTATGGTTTGTGGCGGCGGGGTGCTTGTGTGACCTCTAGGTGTAGAAAAAATTTGTGAGAAGATTTCTTCCTGCTTTAGTCCCTGCATTCTGTCAATTAAATATATTCACCATAATCCTAAATCCCACTGCTCCTTTCCTTCAACCTTCAGGTCTGATTGGTCGAGCCATGCCTCATGATCGAGACAGTCCACATCACACACCTTACAAGGATACCCACCACATCCGAGGCTCCATCTCACAAGGTACAAAGGTTCAAAATGTATTGTTAACTTGATGTTACTTGTTTTACATAAAGCTGTAACAACTTGTTCTCCAATTTTAGGTATACCTCGTCATCTCGACCCTCAGGATGGCTACTTAAGGAGAGAAGCTAAGATGAAGAGAGAAACCTCACCACCCCGTGGGGTCGGTTCCTTTTCTGACCCAATGAAAGGCAGAGAGACTATTGTGCCCACTGTGAAGGAGGATAGACGCTCAATCCACCTCATTCCAAGAACTGAGCCCAGACAGCCTGTCAAGGAGGGAATCATAGCACCGGTATACTCACAGTTCTAAGGAATACAGAGATTATTCAATAAGTAATGACTTTTAACTGAATACTTTCTGCCGTCTCTCACTTTTGGGAACACTTGTGAAGCAGGATGCAGCTGGTTCAACGAAACGCCACGATGTCCGTTCCATTATCGCAAGTTCGCCACGTTCCTATCCCAGTTCAGCCTCCCACCTGGAGATGCGCTCGGAGAGGGGTCGGTACGAGGAGGTGCCTAAAGGGCGGCCCAGTGCGGTGGTTAGCACAGCAAGCACCATGGCTCGCTCCTCTCCGCTCACTTTGGGATCAGAGCAGGGAGGCAAAGCCCATCACAGCCCAATGAGCTACGAGGACAAAGGTAGCTTGAGGACAGCTTATCTTGTTCCTTCACATCGTGGCTCCCCCTTGCCCAGGGAGGCAAGCCAAAGGCAGCATGAAGGTGTGTATGTCTCACACAGCCCAGACCGATTCTACTGAAGACTAAAGGAAAATTATATGAAACATTCAAAAGGAAACGGGATGAAACTAAAATGTAAAGTTGTTTATAAATTATTTTCCTCTTGGATACATTTTGAATGTAACTGTTGATACAGCAAAGCTGATTAAAGTATATTACGAGTAAACTCTTCATCCTTTGAACTTCAGGAAACATTTCTGTCTTTGCTTTCTTACTCCAGGTTCTGGAAAGACTCCCTCTCAAGAGCGTAAAGCCACACCGACTCCCAGAGAGACAAGTTCCACCAAATCCCCCCTCTCCAGTGTTGCAGATCAACAAGCCTACGAGCGTCTGCTTCAAGGCCTCGGCACTACAGACGTGATTCGTCAGATCCCCATAGCTTTTGATCCTTCTGCGCTGCCCCGCGGTATTCCTATTGACCCAGGTACATCCACTGTCGTGTTAGCGTTATCTCCTAAAACTAGGGTTTGCTTTAAAGATCTAAATGCTTACTTTGTTGTTTTGAGCTGTTAAAACATGAATTTAACTCCAAAGTAGGATTTTTCTTGGAATTATGAAGCCAAAACTAAAGCTCTTTTCAATGCAAGAAAATCTTACAGTACAGAAAAAGGCAAAACTTTAATTTGAATTGAAGCTGCTTTGATGTTTTATATATTTTTACTATAAATTATTTCTTAACATTTGTGCTCTTCTTACACAGCCGCCTACTTCTTGCCCCGCCACCTTGCTCCCAATCCGGCGTACCCTCATCCTTACCCGTACCTCATTCGTGGCTTTCCTGACACGGCAGCTCTTGAGAACCGCCAGACTCTGCTCAACGACTACATCACCTCTCAGCAGATGCACCAGTGGCCTGCTGCCATGGCTGTTCAACGCTCAGACCTGCTGAGAGGCCTGGCTCCTCGTGACCAGCCACTTCCTCTGCCCTACTCTGCAGCCCCACGTGGTAATTATATATATATATTTTTATTCAACACTCGCATGCTTCTGTGTTTCCTACATAGCATTTTATAGTTGTTTAACAAACTGGAAGTTGAACCAGGTGTACTGTATTTACAGAAGTTTTAGTCTTACAGAAGGTATTTCTTACAGAAGAACAGAAGTGTTCATGCAGCGTGAGTTTTATCTGATGGTCAGGGATGGAAACGAGCTGGGACTCATCCCGTTTCTCCACAGGTCATAGCTGAGATGACGATCTGTGTTCAGTGAGAGTCAGACTGCATACCTAAAGAGAAAATCAGACAAACAGCAGATAATTTGCAGATTATACTAAAAAATATAACCGTTGTGTAACAAATGAATGCTCACTTCTGGACACCTCCATTCATGCGTGTTGAAAGGTCTAGATTCTGTTGTGAAATTGTTGTGTGAGTGAGATGCACGGACATTTTTACTGGTCTCTTTATATTTCCGAGTCACCAGAGCAGTAATAAACTTTATACTTTGAACAAAGTAGGCATAGATAAAAGATGTGAACCGATCTGTTTTCAGTGCCATCACACTATCACTGGCTGGTGCTCGAATGTCCTCTGCCCAAATTTGATTAGAACAAAACAGTGGAATCAAAAGCTAAGGCAGTCTTTACAAAGAAAGACAAAATCAAACTTCTGCTTATTTATAAGGCGTCCTATCGAAAGATTACCTGTGCATAAATTTGTATTAAAAATCCCCTTAATCATCATGACCTTGCTGAGCACCACTGCCTATATGGTTGTTTAATTTAGTTCTACTGGACCTGAGCAACAAATTCTGTGGTGTTTGTTATACTGTGCATTTTGTTTATTTACGTTTTTATGCAAACGCATACCGTACCGTCTTGTTTGGCTACAAATTTGATTTTTCATTGGTTGATTAATTTTAGAGAGCAGAACTGTTAATGTAGATATTTTGTGAAGGTTGCCTTCCCTGCAGCTGTGTCTGCATTCACTTCATGTTTGACAGCCTCATGATTTTATTGGCACTCCATATCTTGAAATCTTCACCTTTAGTTTGGTTTACCTGAAATAGTCAAGTAATCATTACCCAGTTATTTGCATAGTTTTGGTGTTTAGTTTATGTCTCTAGGTGCCCAGCTTCTTTAAAGGAGCCATTCCAAGTCTTGACGTTTTGTATTTCTGTATTTTTATTAGGGATGGGGCCGATCCGATCCAGCATCGGTTTCGGGCTCAAATACCAGCATAATTCACGTATCGATTTTCCGATCCAACCTGCCGATATTTCCGATCTATGATGCATGTCTTTGGTTGCGCTGCATGTTGGCTTCGAACTATGGAATGGATTTCCTGAACGGAGGCGTGTCTCATGAACCCAGAGTAATAAGACCCGCCTCACGTTCAGGAAATCCATTTCATAGTTTGCAGCCAGCTACAACGTGCAGTAGCACTGTGGCTAACAGCTAACCAACTTTTCATCTAAACATGTCCGCTGTGTGGAAGTATTTTATACTAAACACACCACAAAACAAGACAGCAACGTGCAATGTCTGCAGAGCCATAGCACCACATTAAACCACGGTAAAATTAGTTTTACGACGGACATTCGAGCTCCGGGGCTTCAGCGGTTTGTTATTTTCGTTCAGTTCATTGAGGGCAGTCTGATTTCGGTCAGCCATGCTCAGTCTGACCCGCTCTGTCTGTCCGTGTCGGAGGAGGGGCAGACTGAGCGCGGCTGACCGAAATCAGACTGCCTTCAATGAACTGAACGAAAATAACAAACCGCTGAAGCCACGGAGCTCGAATGTTTACCAAGAAGTCTCTAAACTTCAATTAATTAATGACCAACCACTATCAGTTGTAGAAAATGAAGGATTTCTCAGCTTGATAATTGCAGCCAAGATATAGTTTACCCTCAAGGAGATATTTATCAGTACAACAGTAGACAATCATAAAAAACATGATTTGAAAATTACAAGAAAATGATATGTATATACATACATACATACATACATACATATATATATATATATATATATATATATATATATATATATATATATAACGAAACAAAAACAGCTACATTATAAAGTGATGTAAAATACTAAAAACAGGAACATGTCTATTGGTTTATGCCATGAACTTAGCAGATGTTTAAAGCCATTTAACATTTTCCATCCATCCATTATCTTTTACCCGCTTCTTCCATTTTGGGTCACGAGGGTCGCCGGTGCCCATGTCCAGCAATCACAGTGTGAGGGGCGGGGTACACCCTGGACAGGTCTCCAGTCCATCACAGGGACACAAAGAGACAAATGACCATTCACTCTCTCACACACCTACGGACAATTTAGAGTTACCAGTCAGTCTAACATGCATGTTTTTGGTCTGTGGGAGGAAACCGGAGCACCCGGAGAAAACCCACGCATGCACGGAGAGAACATGCAAACTTCACCCAGTAAGGCCCCTGGACCGGGGTTTGAACCAGGGACCTGCTCGTTGAGAGGCAGCAGCTCTACCAGTTGTGCCATCATGCTGCCCCATTTAACATTTTATTTTATTCATTTATTCATTCATTTAAAAGAAACAAAACAAATTCATCAAAAAGAAAACATTGAATGAAAAGAGTGCAGAAAGAAGAAAAATAATTCTTATCTGCCCCTTATTTAAAAAATATAAAATAACTTTAAACAATCACTTAACTTAATCACTTTAATATCCAATTTAAAGCAAAGAATGAAAAGAAAACATGTTTTGTGTTAGCAGAATTTAATTCTAACTTTAAAACTTATCCAACATTAATAAAACTTACCTCAAGTTGCATTTATGGACATGCATACATATATTTGTACAAATTGTACTTGAGAGGAGATTATTACAGCCTCATATAAAATCAATGATGATCATGATATCAGAACTGGATCGTTATCGGCCGATATTTAGATTTAGGTATCTGGATCGGATCGGAAGTAAAAAAAATGTGGATCGTGCATCCCTAATTTTTATTCCATTGACTGAAGGCACGGATGACAAAAAGAAGGCCTAAATGCTCACTTTAGAAATGGTTTACATCTACATAGAACTGAATTGATTTTTTTTGTTTGTTTGTTTGTGTATATAATATGTACACACACTATATATACATATA